TTTATTATATTTTTGTATAACTTAATATATTATTAAAATGATTAATTTTTTTAATTCATATAAAATTAATAATATTAAATATATTTATTTATTTAATAACATATAAAAATTATATCGAACGGTTCGTTTTGGTTTGGTGGCATTGAATTTTAAGTTATAATTGTTTACCTCTGGTGGGTTGTACGTTCAAGTTTTACGGAAATTCTTTTTTTTTTTAATTAATTCTGTAAATAATTACAAATTATTCCAAAAAAATAAAAATTATATCAAAATATAATATAAAAAAATATTCTCATAACAACACACTTAAATTATTTTTCAAAAAAACAAATCATGCCAAGTCAATTCACGCGTCAATTATTTAACAATTATTTAAAAATATCCGACGCAAGTGTTGAACCAGAGGAGGCCCTCTAATTGCTGAGGTCTTCGTCTACCACCGATGCAATCAAGTTACTTTTTTGCCCATGCTCTTTTCCCGAAATTACAAATTTCTCATTTAGTTTTTGATTTTTAAGTTTTATAACATTTATTTTTATGTAAAACCTGTAAATGTAAAACTTTCTTAAAATAAAATTAACCAAAAAAATTAAAAATTCAGTTTTGATTTTTTTTTTTTACAATAAAAATTTAATGTAAATCTGATAATGTTGGAATGCATCAAACAAGTTGATGAATGCACATTAATTACCATTCACTTGCCCCCGCAAGTGGAGTGTAAGACATTATTATCAATAAATATTTTTGATAAATGTATTTTTTAGTTTGAATTGTAGATTTTGTTTTATTAAAAATACATTATTAGTGTGTTTGAGATGAGAGTAGTAGAAGAGGAAGAGAGTGAAGAGCTTTTTAATTAATTAAATTATAATATTTTTAAATATTAATTAAAATTTTATTTCTTCCTCTCCTCTTCTCTTCTCTTTTCTTTCCTCCAAACCAAATATACTAAGTATATAACAATGAGTTGAGCAAGTTGGTAATAATGGTTTTTTTAGTAGAGCAAGGAGTCGTTGAGTTCAAATTATTGAAATGTGGATGAAATAGATAATAAATAAAAGAGAAATTTTTTTATTATAAATTTAAAATTAAAAATAAAATACATTATATTCCAACAATTTAAGTAGTTTTACTAATCTCTTCTTAGTGAAATTAGAAGGTTATATTTCCTTTGAGAAAAAGAAAAAGAAATGGAAAAAATAATTTTTTTATCTAATCAAATATTTTAATTTAATTAATTAAAAAATCTTATTTTCTCTTTTAAAACCAAATATATTACTAGTGAAATTAAAAAATTTTAAAGAATATAGAGATGGATAAAAAAAATTATTTCATTTTACAAATTTTCTTTTTATTTTTCTTTTAAAAAAAAAAAGGAGCATTATAGGAGCTCACCGCAAAATGCGTCAAAATTCAAAAATTTCGCCGTACCCATTTCCCTCGAAAAAGGAGGGGGGCCTTAGTAGTCAGAACGGATAAAGGCAAAAGGGCAATTTGGTCATTGTGCATGCCTTCACCTTCCCGGAAACTTATATCCCAAGTCTACGTTCCCGGACCTTTCGGCTTCCATCCTCTGTATTTCTCAGTATTTCGTCCTCGCCCGAAATCACCCCCCCAACTTCCCTCTCATCTCATTGCAAGCAACGTTAGCGTTTTTGGAGCAAGTTAAAACGGAGAAGCCTAGATTAAGGTCAGCGAAAGGAGAAGAAGAAGAAGAAGAAGAATATCCTAATTGTATTTACCGTGAGGAAAATCGGCTGGACTCTTGTTCAATTGGGTTCGCTCGTTTTTCGCATGGTTGGAGAGATTTGGCAGGACGGAAGGCGATTTTCCTGATCTGGGTTGGTTGTGTTTGAAGGGATGATGGATTGCAGGGTGTGTGTGGCGGTCGAGGAGAATAATAATAATAATAATAATAATAATTTATGGGGGGTGAAGGGTGGGGAGTTTAGCCACGAGAGCGAGCACGACCTTGCCTTGATGGTCAGCGATTTCTTAGAGAACGGGGGGAGCACGGGAAACGAGTCGTGGTGCAGCAGCGACGGCGAATCTGGCCACGCCGATCTCCCTCATCTCGCCGACAAGATTTCGGCAAGTGTTTTATTTAAAGATAGGTTTTTTTTTTTTTTTTTATCCTTTCCTGTACCCCCACTTTGTTAGTCTTCTTATTTTCCATTTCCCGTTTACCCATTTTCCCCTGTTTGCTCCGAGGCCGCCTTGATTTCGCACTGCATAATTCTGTGTTTGTTATCTCAAAATTTAGTTGAAAGACCGAGCTTAAATGAGCTAAGTAGTTTAATTGCGTGAATGTGCTGATTGATGGTTTCACAGGCAATTTAGATTTTTTTTTTTTTTTATTCTTCTGTGATGATTGACACATACAACAGGGATAGCCCCTCGCTTCATCATTTTAATTCATCCACGTTCAATAAGCTAATTCCTTTGTTCAGGCTCAGTTAATTTGTAGTGGTTGACCCTATTGATCTTTTTTCCTCATCATCTTTTAATTTTGGAAAGTGGAATGGTTTTTATGGTGTCATTGGCTCTATGATTCTTTCGGTGGTTACCGAGAATACTGTTAAACATTCTGAAGAAATTACAACAAATCTTATGATCTTTCTAAATTTGAACCCATATTGGAAACACTGATAGCTTATCTTTGGTCCATGTCTCCGTTTGATACTTAGATGTGAGTGATTGTCTTTCAATACTTGCCATCTTGTTTTTA